CAAAATGATTAATCGTTGATATCTCCAAATTAAAAATTCGTCTCTAAGCCCCGATTTGCTGTGGAAGGGCCCATATAATCCTTAAATTTGGCACTTTGAAAAAAATTAGATGTTTTTTGCTGTTCAGTACTGAGTAAATCAATCTTAATACATTAAATAAAATTTTTTTTTTAAGAATATTTTAGTTATATGTTACTATAAAATAATCAATTTTTTTATTTATCAATACCGTAATATGATAGCATGTGATATTGCCCATATTTGGTAAATCGTCAGACTGACACTAACCACGTCGCTATATAAATGTGACAGAAAAAATTTCGTTATAGCACCGATAACGCCAAATATAGATATTTTGAAAGTTGCATTGATAAAACATATTGAGTAAAAAATATATGAAGTATTTAAATTACCAAACAAACTTTAATTTCTACAAACCTCAACAACTGAAGTACCATCATGAAATCGTGTGCGAAACAAAACATTCGCATTATTAAACATTCCATCTTTAAGTGAAACAACTATAAATTGTGAACCTTTAAATCGAGTTCGAAGTAATTGTCCAATATTTTGAGTATGAGAAAGATCTAGTGCTGCATCCACTTCGTCCAAAATATACATTGGCGCAGGTTTAAATTGCAGCAATGATAAAATCAGTGATAATGCAATAAGTGACCTAAAATAGACGATAAGATTAACTTTATATATACATATTTTTATTAAATGTTGGGGATGATGCTGAAACATGGATGATAATGAGACATAAAAAATCCCATTGGCTAATCACCCTAATCCTAACCAATCAAATGCGTTTGTTTCATGATCATTCATGTTTCAGCATCATCCCCCACATTAAATGAGAAGAGTCAGTTGATATTGGACCAATTAAAATATTCCAACTGCCAAACCAAATTTGTAAAGTTTTTATTTATTAATTCTAGTTTAAAATTTGGTTTGTATCTGTTGAGATATTTTACTTTAAAATTTACTAAAAATGATTGTCCAATTGTTTGACTCTACCATATAAACAATCTTGTTTACCTTTGACCACCACTCAATTCCGATAAACTTTGTTTCCATACTCCACCAAGTTGTACTTTAACTTCTAAACCATGAGTCAAATCTTGACCTTCGAGAGGTTCAAGTTTTGCAAAACTATTCGGTAATAAATCCGCAAAAATTGCTCCAAAATCTCTTTAAAACGTAATAATAAAATTGCACAATGCCATTAATGTATGAAATCCACATATTTAAGCACGTAATAAATACTTACCCATTTACCTTCTCCCAAGTTCTTTGCAATGCATCTTTTTTATAATCATCCAAGGATATTATCGTATCTTCAATTTTTTTCTTATCTTTCAACACAGTTGCCAACATTTGATTTAGGGAAGCCTCCTTCTTCTCAACACTTAAAATTTTGTGTCAATAAATTTTAGATTATCAAAATAAAATAGAAAATAGTAAGAATTACCTATCGATCATATTCATAACTTTAGCATTTATTTTTTTACGCATATTGCTGTGTTTCTCTTCTAATTGCCGTAACATCTTTTTACATTCACTTGGGTTATTATTAACAAAATCATATGCTGTGTTGGGTTTACCAAAATGGCTGATATAATTGATATTAAAAGATATATAAACATATAAATAAAAAGGAAAAAAATTAAGCATATGCATTATAAACTCAACTGTTTTTGCTGTATGATCCAATCATAATTCTGTTCCATCTGGAGAATTGCCTGTTGCGCTGTTTGTTTCTCTTTAAGAAACCTTTCTAATTCGTGGTTAATCCTAGATATTTCTAATTGCACTTCGGTTGTTTGGGCTGTTTTCGTTTTTATAGCAGTTTGAAGTTCTTTGATCTCCTCATCAAAGGCAGATAATATATTTCGTTCATTGTCCAGTTCAGATTGTGCACTATCTAATG